TAACGGTCCCCTGCGGGAACGGTCCCAGGCCCCCGGCGGCTCCTCCAGGCTCCCCGGCACGGCCGGGGCTCTGCGGCTGAGCGGCACCGCAGTGGCACAGCTGCCCGTACTCGTGCCCATCGCATCATCTGGTATCGGGCTCCTTTCCGACAGCCCTGTGCAGGGCTGGTGCGGACACAGGCGGGGGCTGATGCTGTGGTGCTGACCGCCTTCCCACTGAGACAAGGTATTGCCCATTGTTGATTTTTTCTTTTTCTTTTTTTTCCCATTTTCTTCAGCCCATGAACCTCCTCCGTTTCAAACAGACTCGCAGCTTGGAGCTGCCCCGAGAGCTGCCTCTCCGGGACTGCTCCCTTGCTCTCAAAGCCACACCACAGGCAAGAGCCGCACTGGTTAAATCCAAAGCAAGGCAAGAGCTGTGCCAGCTCCTGCGTGGAGTGGAGGCACATGATTTCCTGGAGAACTCAAGGCTACCGTAACTAATTGAGCTCCCCTGCCGTATTCTCTGGGAGCACGTTAGCCCCGCTACAGCCAGTCCACACCCCAGCTGGGCAAGTGCCAGCCCACGAGCCACGGACTCCTGAGGGACTTGTGCACCGTGCCATCCGAGCAGGCTCGGGCAGCCCGGGGGGCCGCCGGCCTCTTGCCGTGAGGCTGAAGGACGCGGAGGTGCACGGGGTAGCTGTGCCGGCTGTTCTCCCACGAGGGAAGTGGGATGTTCCTGTGCAAACCCCAACTCCAAAGGGTGCCGGGTGCTCGGATCCCGGGCTAACTCCGTGGCTGCAGGGATTTAACCCATGGGTGCATGTAGCCATTGCCCCTGTGCAGGGGGGGGCGATTTCCCCCCACCCCAGAGGGGTTGATGTCCTGGTGCATCGCTGGTGGAAGGTTTTACGGTGCCGTACACGCTGCCCTCTGTTAAGGAAGTCTTTTCCTCCTCGGGAAGGACTGCGTGCCAGGCTGGGCTTTGGTGGCGGTGGCTTTGCTTGCAAAAGGCACTGCAGGAAGCTGAACGGGGCAAGTGCCTGTGCTGAGCAGAGGGACCAGCAGTCCCGTGGGGGAGCTGCGCCAAGGGGCAGGATGCCGGGCTGTTCCCCACGCGTCGCCTAAGAACCAGCCCCTTCTTGGGGGAGGATTAAGATGCTCCGGAAGGGCACATTCCCCTCGGTGAGGAGACTTGCGAGACACGCTGCCTCACTTGTCTGCTTCCCGGTCTGGGAGAGGGTCAAGGCAAGCCAGAGAGAAACGTGGGAGCAAGAGCTCCTGGGGATAGCCAAGCACCATATCCGACAGCCACGGCGGGGCGTTGAGAGAGATGGGTGAAATCATTCCCTGCCTGGATGCTGCAGGGGGCCAGGGCCAGGCGGCAGCTCCTCTTTGGAGCCCGGGCTGCCTCACCACCAGTAAAGTCTCCTGGCAGAGCGGGGCCACGAGTGCGGGGGGC